TGCGTATGCTGCTCGAGCCAGGGAAATGCGGATGGTTATCTCCTTTAATGCGCTACTGTCGTTGGTCACGCAGCTACCTAAGTATGAGAGAACAATCAGATACAGCTAATTCCTGACCGTCTAGTTTTTTAGAAAGGGAACTCGGCGCTACCCAGTCTTATAGCATCAGTTGGCACTTTGAAGGTGCGAAACGTTTCATTTGGAATAAGTCTTCAGAACTCACACAAGAATACAAGATGATTAGCGGAAAGGTTTCCACGGCGTGTGGGCATTTCTCGCAGTTGTCATTGTGAACACAGTAATTTGCTCCAACAGGTCTCGTTCATTTTTGACCGTTGAGAACAACAGCCAATCCGAAATTGTGTCCTCGGTAGAAATTTTATTGACCTTGAAGAATAGAATGAACGGAAGTGATCTTTTGTGTTGCCTGCAGCTAGTTACCTAGCGGACTTTATGCGCCCACAATCAAGGAAAGTGTACGAAACAATTTCCGCTGGCAGTTGGTGTTTTCTATCATGTTTGATCAGTCCTATTACGAGATATCAGTGTTTTATGTCATGTGGAGTGAAATCCAAATGTAAGTGAGTGATTTAGAATCGAATTAAACAGTTCTGTTTTCTTGTTAGATTTTACCTAAATTTGAACTCGTTTTGGTGATTAGGAAGACGTTTTTTACTATTTGGATCTATTTTTGCACCACCGCGCATATTCATTGGCTAAAATCTTTTTTCCTGTGTCTGAACTAAGTTGTCTCTGACTTTCTGATCAAATTCAAAATATTCAGTGACTTTTCTTTTCGAGGAAGTTGCGACGTGAGCAGGAGTTTATGGGAAATGAGATTCAAACCCGTGCGCGGACGAGTTTGTCTCACCGGCGATTACCAATTTGGGGTGTTCAGGAAAGAGAATTTTAGATGAGGTTACACTTATATAAACAAAAATCAATGAAATCATGTTATGGAACATCCCACGCACCATATCCACCAATGCAATGTAGATGAATGTGCCCGCGGTCACTGCGAAGATCCAATAGCTAGCCGATTCCACATTGCCCAACGCGATCCCGACAAGCATGCCGAATAGGGAGAGGACAGAGGAAACCACATTGAAGAACAAAGCCTCTTTGATACGCATTCCAGTCTTCAGAAGAACAGCAAAATCACCTGATCCGGGCAGGGCATGACGAGAAAATGATGAGAAAATCAATACACTTGGGCAGAGATAGATAGGCTTGATGTTCGCTCGGGAATTTCAGTGTACAATCTTGTTTATTTTTTTATTTAGACCTTTCATTCATGACATTTTTCAGCTATAGCTTCCATAGAGAAAAACAATAATCTGGTCGAATTTTTCTTGGCATGGACAAAGATATATACAAAAGCATGCAGGGATTCAGCGTTCAGGCGTTCAGCTTGCTTTCCTCTGTGGTGTTTTGCGATCGGTATGTCATGGTCAAAGCGCTCATCGATGGTTTTCGGACTTTGAAAACATCCTGTCCTATATGCGATGGAATTGTCTGGACTCGTCAACAGTGTGCGTTCATTTTGTGTTCCTGTAAGGACTCGAACCGCGATTTTTCGGACTGGGACTGCAAACCCCTATCCCTGAACTACAAGGTCGATTATCATCGTCTTGTACGCACTGCACAAGGGACACAAAAAGTACACAGTGTTGACGAGTCCCAAACAGGACGAAACATCTGTCCAGTGCTCTTTGTCGGTTATTACAAACATTTACATCGCATTTACCTATCGGGGAATTAACTATCTCCCAAGGAGTGAAACACACACACACACACAAGATCATCAACAGTGCCTGTTGCCTTTTGAAAACCGAATGGGCTAATCCAAGCATTCACCATGTAGATCCTGTCTTAAATTCTATGGTAGTTAGCAAGTACCCATTTTCTTATCAACGAATCAATTGACATCAAAATCGAATTAATGCTAAAATAAAGGTGATGAGCGAAAATCGAGCAGACATGAATGAAGACGAAGGGCAACAATGGTCAAGTGCTGAAACTATCGAGATGACCACCAGGGGGTCCTGAGTTCGAACCCCACCATCACCCATCTTCTCTTTGAAGGGCCGCGGGCTACTTTCTGAAAGTTCACAGAGTTGAAACTTATCGCTGATTTTGGTCACACATTTCTTCAAATATAATGACGTCGCATAAGGGATGACGGTGACATCCAGTTCGGAATCACTTTAAAACCAAACAATGCTCATCATCCGCAGGAATTCTTGGTCTGTCGATGACACTAATAGCGATTGACGAGGGAGGGGGGGACAACTCAGTCATATACGTTTCGATCACAAATCTAATTTCTAAGCCTATTGCCCCATAGAATTGAGAATACTTATCATAAAATGACTGCCTACCAAGACCTCGTCAGTTATTTTTAAGTGATAGTTTTATATTGTAATCAAAATGCAAATATGTGATGCCAAAAACGAACATCGTTCATCGAGTTCAATCCCAAGCATACCGGGGACGTTTACATCTAAGAAATACGGTCATTATCACTCACTCACTCATGGGAATCAAGTGAGCAGTGCAGGAGTCGAGGAGATTGAGCTCAAGTTATTTTTGTCGGAGCACGCTGGTTTGATGAAAATGTTCTTGAGAGGAAATACTGATGGATTTAAATTGTATTTTTTCAAAACAGTGCCCCGAGGTGAGCTTTTATGTGAAAACTGACCCCAAACAGGAATGAAATGTGTCCCGTGCGGTCGATGATTTTATTATCATACAAATGGGGCTTAATGAATTTGAATACACATGCACTAAGAATAGCAAATTGAGATTAGCCTATTCGATTTGTTTACAAGCAACAAACACTATTGATCATCTTGAGTATGGGTTTCACATTTTGGGAGATCGTTGATTCCCCACAACAGATGAACGCGGTTATAAGCGATGAAAAGCTTGGTGATGATCGTCAAAGATCACTCATTGGACAACTGTGTCGTTTTGTTTAGGAGACTCCATAACAGACGGCGTGATTTTATGACTCCATGCAGTACTCGAACTGCAAATATGCGGGTCGGGGTTTCAAATCCTTGTCCCTGAGCTACACGATTACCTTATGCAAATGGTTCAAGCAATTAGGAATAGTAAGTTTGGATCAGCCAATCACATTGTGAGCTGGTACCAGGCACTCGTGATAGGCTGGAGTTTGAGTTTCCCTCCTTGGGAGATAATGAATTGTCTGCCGACCCCCTGTGTGTAGCTCAGGGGTAAGGGTTTGACGTCTTCGTCTGAAGGTTCGCGGTTTGAGTCCTGACTCAGTTCAGTTCAGTTCTTACAATCATTAACCAGGCCCTTTTTTCGAGCGCCGATTTTGGTTGTTGTCTTTTGGCTGCCTTCATTTCGATAAAACAGCAGAGTGATGATTAGAATGTTGAGAGCAGACTTAAGCGGATGATAGCACATTTTCATAGACTGGAGTTACTAGAATGATGAGTAGATGCATGAATGCCACTGTTTGCGACACCCAGCCATATCGCTCAATGTCTCTAACCATTGGTGATCTTGATCTCGTGGTCCCCAGTCAAGGAGCCTAACGGGACCTATGTGAGCCAGTCTCCTTGGTCAGGGTTTTCATACCCTCATGCCAAGTCTTCGTTTGACCGCCCTTCGTTTTTTTCAACCGCTACCTGCCTCTGCAAGCATCACTCGCCGTGGCAGCCTATCTGGTGACATGCGTAGCACATGTCCAAATCAGCGTAATCTGTGGAGGTCGACTACTCGGTCCAGTGGACGATCGCGATTACCTAAAACTCTACGCCTAACCTCAGCATTCCTCGTCCACCAGACTCGTGCAATGCTACGTAGACCGACAATCTATTTTCATCCTGTTTCCGTAATGACCAAGTCTCAGTGATACCAAAAGTACTCATCACTGACAAATCCCTAACAGGACAACATAGCTGTTCAGTGTGTGCTCTTCACTACACTGCTGATTTTTGTGAATATATATACATATATTGTGCGTGACAGAAATCGGAGTGGGATACATTAAAACGAGGTATGTAGACAAGTCCAGTTGTTTTTTTCTCTTTTTCTATCCTAAGCGCAAGCCAGATTATTCGATGATCGAACCAGAACAAATATTCTCACCTACGCTGACCGGTACTAGAGCCGAATCTCTGTCATCTGCATCCAGCCCCGCACTCCCATCCCTACTAGTTATAATCGGAATGCAGACGAGAGACGAGCATCGTGTCAGCCACACTAATTTCGATACATTGACGTGATGTCACGTTGAAAACAAGCTATTCTCTGACCCAAATACATCCAATCCTCGTCGAACCATTGTTTTCAGCCTTCAAATTTATAATGATTAACATTGTAGGTGAACATAAACACCCGGAAGATATTCTTCATATTGACGAGAACTCAAATTAACTCACCAGCCAAATCCATTAAAGGTGTTTTGATTGAAATGGATGAAAATATTTTTCAAAGGTTATCACACGAATGCATATAACTGAAAATTGCGAATTGACAAAATAGAACAAATCAGCTACACAGCTGGAGATCCACGGACGTTGTTGTTCGCTTACGTGATTCCAAACCTGCTTCACAGTTAGGATCCGATAGCAAATATGAACACGTCTGAATCAATATTGTAGCTTATTGATTCACTGTTCCGTTCATTTCAATCTTACGGTGTATGGTAATCAATTTGTATAGGGAATATTCAATGTGGTGGACTATTGTGATCATAGATTGAGAGCACCATAAACCACATTTCAAGATTGTCTGACATTTTCTGTTTTCTATTTCGTTTTTACTTCCTTTCATTAAATACATAATGAGATAATTTTCTGGAAAGGGGAGTGACCAATCAAACGAGGCTACCACACAACACAGAATAAAGGGGGAGGGGGCGGTAGTTGTGGTGGGATTCGAACACACGGCCTCCTGCGTGGCTGATAATGACCAAAGGGTCACCACTACCCGAAAAAAGCTGTTCAAACAAGACACTGTAAATTCTTCTTATTTATGGTGAAAGTACGCAACATACAAACACAGCCAATATTTCCCAGTGGTCCAACAAAAAAATATTTCGTTCTTTCCCATTTGAAAATCAATGTTATTGAGGATCTGCTGTTCCCGAAATTTTTACTCCTCAAATCTATTTGAAAAATTCCTCGAGCTTCCGTTCATGTTTCGCTAACTTATGAACGAAAAAAACGGCTCTTAACTAAGGTAGATGTTAGAGAACTGAGAGCGTCTGATCACTGAGACCTGTGATCAAATGTTCAGTAAAAAATGAACAAAACTGCTAAACTATGTCACCAGATCAACTCATCATGGAGAGACCCCATTGCTGTTCGGCTAAGTCTTCAGTTTTTCTACAGTTTGTACCAATAAAATCACATGGGTTTATCCAAATCCAACTACTCAAGCCATCAAATTTTCTGTGGAGGCACACGCAAAAATTTGCAAGCACCGCCAGTTGCCAACTACAAACCGATACATTTATTTAATCATTCAAATAAAAACTAAGAACATAACTTAAGAAAACTGGCATATGCTACTGCTTGCAATGAAATATTAGCTATTCTAAACTGCTTACCAACTGTTTTCGAAAGATAAAAATACACTGAAAACACAAAGGAAATGATTGAACTGTTCCTTAATTGGACAACAAGCTAATTGAACCTGTTCATCTTGCATTTTATCTCAACCGAACTTAGCTGAATAGCTTACCCAATTCGTGAGGCAATTCGTGACAGAATACGGCTACAGCTGTGCTCAGACCGCCTGAGATGCTTTGAGCAAACGCCGCACCTGGAATAGACGAAAATGGAATGAGAAAAGCGCTAACCACGGAGAGGATTGTCGTCAACACACTTTCTTTTTATTCGATCGAATTTTGTTCACGGCAGTGTTTAACTACTCACAAGTAGTGAAACGAAAATCAATTTAACATGAAATTTTTTAGATCCATAGATCATACTTTCTGATGCAGTTAGTCTTTGAGATCGATATTCTTACCGATGGCCATTCCGTCGGTGAAGTTATGCAACCCGTCTCCCATAATCACCATCCATGCAACCGAAGCAACCGAGCCTGGAACCTATGAGAAAATATACGAAATCAGTTCAGTTTGCCATGAATGAGTCAGAACCTCTTTGAGAAAAGAGTCAAATTCAATGACCATTCGATGTGGGACAATTATTTTAAAATTCATGCGGAATCACGGTGAACATTATCATCCGGTTGGCGGTTTTCACAAGTTCAATAAGGATGCACTATAGGATAACATCATTACTTGCAATCAAATTCGACATTGAAAGTGGCTTTTGGGGTGCCAGGTAGATTAGATCAAAACGTGATTTTAGACGACTTGCTTATACTAGTCGTTATTGATTCGATGTTAAATCACGTTTACAGAAACCATTAATTTATGAAACTGGTAGTTCAAAGCACGTATTAATTCACTCATTCATCCATCCGTCGATAAACATACATACATACATACATACATACATACATACATACATACATACATACATACATACAAACCACATTGATGAACTGGATTAGTTACAAGAACCGTAGGGTAGTATTGTGCTATCAAGAGAATTCTTTAATCATTATCGAGTTTCAGTGGTGTGAGTACCACAGAATAAAGACCGATGACTGTAATTTTGTTCTAAACACAACGACCATGTAAGGACAGGCGCGGAATAACAAACATATTTAGTTTTTATGATGCACTCACTGGATATTACATCACAGTTTGTGGTATACGGTTTAGAAGGAAAACATCACATCTCTGTTCTGTACCTTGCATGTAGAACATTAATGTTCATTTTACTAAAAATCCTTATGCTAT